TATAAAAAACACAGAGCTACATATTTCTATAAAAAATTGTGCATTTTTATTAATTTTTGCGAGTTTTTTAATTTTGTCAGACTTTTTCAGAAAAATACTTTCATAGTAAAACATATTCATATCAATGCTGTACAGTGAGAAAGAGACATTTCTGGTCGAATGAGTGTAGCTCACCTTCTTCCTGGCCAACAGCAGGTCCTGGTAGATGTTGGATCGCAAAAAGCGTGCATAGCTGTCACTTTTCATTAGCTGGAATATGTGCTCCTGCAGGAGGAGAAGTTGTAAAACAAACACAGAAAAGAGAAATGTGTCACAGTGAGGTAAAAAGGCCTCTGGATATAGCAGTGCAGTGAATACACAGTCTGATTTGGAGGGCATAATGTAAACTGTTACAGTGGTAGAGTCCTGAGGGACAACTGAGTGATGACCTGCCAGTGGGTGGTGACGCATGTCACGCACCAACAACCTACTTTAAAAGCAAATTAATCTTTAGTGAAAAACCCATTCATGGCGTTCGACGCCTCATTGGGCTCTGGCACAAACACATTCCTTCATTCTTCTCTAAAGTGAAAGGGGTTCTGAAGAGTGGAGAGGTTCTGTAGAGCAGAGGGGTCCTGTGTCTTTGTGTGTGTGTGCGCGTGTGTGTGTGTCAACAGCAGCAGAGTGGTGGGCCGAAACAGTGCCTAAATATAACAATTTAGAGTTCCCAATCTTTTTGTTCCATATTGTTTATGTCTGTCATCATAGTGCTATATATTTATTTAAGCATAAATATACTTTTGATTTTTGCAGATTAAAATCGTCTTGTCCCGATTTTTCTGTACCTGAAATAGAACAGTCATTGAAGCTGTGTTTTATTTTGGAAGTCAAAAACTGTGGTTTTACCAGCAAAGGCTTTTATTTTGACAGGGGTCTTGACATATGAAAGCACGTGTTATTAATGGAGAACTAGGTCTTAATTTATAGTTTAATTTTTTGCATTGACAAATGATAATAATATAATTATTATAAATAATATATTGTAAATTATATGTGTATGTATATTGTTGGATTTAATCGACGACGACTACACGTTCCCCACTACCCACGGCCCAATATTAGTCTGGGACCCAGTGGTTGGTGAGCTCTGGACTAACTGGCACTAAAACAAAATCAGATGAATTAAAAAATACTAAAAAAAAAATTAAAAAATAATGAATTAATTAATGACGATGAAATGCTGTCTGTCAGGTTATTGGGAGACACCTGAGCGTCCTCATAGCTGTATCGACCCGGGTCCTTAAGGTTCTGGCTGGTGCGCTCGTAGCTATGGGAGTCCAGGTTTATGGAGCTTGGTGCTCCCTCAGCCAGAAACTCCTGCCAGATCTCCTGGGCTCTGGCCGACACCTCCTGGAGAGGTCGTCGCTTCAGATCCTGCACTGCCATCCAGAACCTGTTGGGTCAAAATATATTATTAGCGTTAATGTAACAATGAGATCTAGACACGCCACAAAAATGTTTTGTTTTTTTAGATCAAACAGTATGAATAATTAATTAAATTACTGACATATAATAAGACGTGACATATTTAAAGCACTCACACAGACATGTATGAGCTGAACTGACATATTTTGACATTATTCCACAAGGGGGAGACAACGTCTACGATCAAAGGCTGTAAAACACAATATAAAACGTCTGAGAAAAATATCATGAAATGACATCCACACTCACCGCAGGTTCTCTGAGCTGAACTCTGACTCCACGAATTTCAGAAACTGGTCTCGTCCTGCCGGGTCTTTCAGGGCCTCCTCTAAAGAGAAGCCCCATTTTTTCACCCGCTGCTGGCTGGGATCACGACTGTTCAAAAAAAAAGAGAATAAACAATCATTTTTATTTTTTGGTCTACAGACAGCACAAGTCTAAATGTCAGGACAAAGTTGACCTTTATGTCGAACATGGTTGTTATGACTTTTTGGGCCCTTATAAACTCCCCGTCTACAGCACATTCTTCTTCTGCTGACCTCACCTGGCTTCTAAATCCCAGAAGGCAGTGTCGTCACTAATCCAGGGGTTGGAGGGTTCTGTGGTTGACACAAAGGGGTCGTATTCCGCGAACTGCTCCGTGTAGCTCATGAGGCTGTCGGCCACTTTGGAGACTTTCATACAGTGTCTGTCCAGCTGGTTGTTTAAGAAGGTAATCTGACAGAGTGAGGAGAATGTGGGCTAAATCAGTGGGTTCATCCGTCTGTGTCTTGATAAATGTTGAAGGAACAATGAGCTATCCTGTGGGTAATGACCTAAAGAGACAATTTACCTCCTTCTGGACATCCTCTTTGGTGGGCTTCCTGCTGGGCTGTGAGCTGCTGTGGATGGGACTGGGCTGACTCTGGCCGTCGTCTGGTACTCCATATACTGACTGGGGAGTCATGGGACATTCAACGTTTGTCAAGAGACCACTACAGCTTGGACACTAAACGACTAATTTTTCAAACTAACAGAGTGTTTCCCCAACTTTCCCATGGTGCACCACCAAACAAAACTGTGACAAGAAGGATGTGTATCAACATATTATGATCTTCTCATTTCAATTTATTTACAATTTAATACTCATTGTGAAACCTGGATGCGTTTAGTTGAACACAACACTGACATACTCCCAGGAATGGAAGAAAGGCACAAAGATCTTCAACACTCTCTTTTTTTAGTGTTTATCTGCTGCCATCTAGGAGATTGTTTACTTTAACAAATGGAAAAAATAATTTAAAAAAATGATGACATAAATAACACAGTATGTATTAAGACAGACAGGTCAGCCACACTCACCTTTTTCACTCTGTGTGGATTCCTCTCCCTTCGGCACTTACGGATGTCCATTTCTGTGGTGTTGACACAGCCTGGCTGTGAGACACAGCGTATGTTTATGGGTCAGTTACAGTACAAGCTGTTCTCCTGTGTGTATTGTGTTTGCCTCTCGTCCTTTTCAAACAATACAACACTGTTGGTTTATTCAGTGATCCATGTTCCCAAAAGGACTTGTATGCAAAAAAACTGGCACTGAATACAACTCTGCTCCTGGCAAAAGAAAAAAACCCACCTCCCAGCTATACACAATGTGAAGCTGAGTGAACTGCCAGGTTTAGCTTTTACATTCTTTGAATTATATTTCTAGCGCAGTCTTCTGCTCAACTTAACTGACTCACCACTGGCCGGTGGACATCCCAGAAGGCTCTCTCCTGGCTGTCCAGGATCTTCCTCTCTGCCTTGTCCTTCTTCCTGTCGATTCTGTGAACAGAGACCATTGGGAACTTACGCTGTATTTTTATGAACTCATACAGCATTAGAGTAATTTTAGTGCCACAAACAGACAATAATCTGAAAAATCTGGTCAAAACCAAAAGCAGTGAAACACACAGAGATGTAACATTTTCTGTAACTGAATTTTACAGCTTGATCCCCAGATGGCAGCATTTTTATCCAGTTAATTTGGAGAACTGATATTTCATGTTTGTTTCGCAAACAAAAGTCACCTGACCTAAACTTGTTTAAAATATAAAACCACTGATGGATCAAAATGCCAATTTAAAATATCAACATGCCTTTATTTAATTTTACATATTAATGAAAAAACGTACCCAATGTTTGTTTTTCTAAAATATAACACATAATAAATGATAAATTAATGCTATGCTTACACAAATAAGCCACTGGTTGGTGGACTTATTTTATGGTTCTTCATTTTTGTATAATTTGAATTTCCCTTCTATTCTATTTACTGCAAAAAATAAAACAAAAACAAAAAACAACCGAAATCTGTGGACAGATTAGTGCCCTCTTAACAAATGAGAGCCACCAGATGGCAGTCTTGCACGAAGCATCTTTTCAATTAACTACTGCATGTGGAAACAGCATGTTTAAATCCAGAGGGAAATGTTGTTGTATTTAACGCTTACACTATTCCAGACAGCAGAGTGTAGACAATTCAAGCACTTGAACATTTACCAAGTACCCTACTGAGTACATGAACTACTGCAGTATAAATAACAGTAATGTAGTGTAGTTTGTATGTTCACAAACTCTTAGTTTGTTACATAAGCAGGACTTATGTGGAAAATGACGTTCTGAATCACTTGTACACATGACTCACTTCACTTGAGCCTCCGCCTGCATGAAGATGAATTCCCACTTCCTGGCGAAAGCCCTCTGCAGTCTGGCAAGGTTCTCCTGTGGAAACCAGTGAGAGGTAAAGTCAGAGGAAGAGGTGACCTATTTTTTTTCTTTTTGTTTTATTTATAAATTTGCACATTTTTGTCACATACTCAGTGAAATGCTCTCTGGTACTCTTGAATTTCTAAAGCCGTAGTTAGACCTCCAAATGAGGGTAAGTTAAAAATGTTTTATAAAAAGCGATAAAATACACAAAACACATAAAAAGTGCTTTGTTATAAAAATATAGTTTTTTTGTGTGTTTGTGTGGGGGGAGGGCAAAGATAAAAAAAAAGTCCATCCTTCTGAGCTCTATCCAGACAAACTGGATAACATATCTTTGACACACTGAGGTTACATTGAATAATATAGATATGTAACTAAATGAGTAAGTCAAAATAAAATATGTAAAAGCTTATTTGTAATAAAATAAAACAAAAACATATATAAATCTGAATAAATAATTAGATTAATTAATCTTAAATGTAATATGGACCAAAATAAGACAAATAAATTACTCTCACTGTGTTAAACATTTTAACATTTTTATTGGCTATTAGTTAAATATTATCTTATTAAGCAGTTTAATTCTGCTACACCAAAACCTTTAGACAGAAACCAGTCTTTCACTGAATCCAACTGCTGCTCTCTCATTTTTTACGTTTTACTGTAACAGTTACAGTGACTGTTTAGTGAACGTTGTAACTTTGGAGGTAGAATTTTGCCCATTTTAGTTTACCATGAGTTCAACTGTTCAAGTTGTCAGCAGCCATCCTTGTCTGACTTTCCTCTTCGTGATGCACAACAACTTTTCAAACACCAAACAGTTACACAGGTGTTTGCGGTGCTAAAGCTAAAGTTGAAGATTAGCATTTTAGCTCATTGGGCTTGACAACATTGTCATGTCGTCTTCTGTGTCACCTATCACAGTGTTTGTTATACCCACCACAGCGAAGCAGACGTCCTGGAGTTTTGACACTTTGTCTCATAGACAGATGGAAACCAAACATGTTAATTACATGAGCAGCGGAGGTACTAAGGTTTCCCATGGTTTTTAGTCTCCCTGTTTATTAACAAGGTCTCAGCTTCATTTGTGGCGCGCGCGCGCACACACACACACACGCCAGGAACATGTCCTTGGTGTCAGACCAGTAAAATAAATGATCAGTCATTCAATAAAAACACCTCATTATAATTATTTTATTTTTTTATTTTTAAATATTTCTGCCGATGGAGCTACTAATGAAAATTGACTCCAAGGTCAGTGTATATTTAAAATAAAATATTCAAAAATAGTGTATATTCAAAGTAACATCTAATTTCTGACCAGAGCTGTTTTCAACATGAATGACTATTTATTATTATATGACAAAAGAAAAAGTCATAGCTGTTTTTTTAAATTAGAACTGAAAGTAAAGGAACATCTGTAGGGATGAATCAGTTGGGAGCGATTTAGGGATATACAGTATATGATAAAAAAGAAATCAGCACAATCATTTGCGTTGAAGTCAGAATTATAGAGTTTTCCATAAAATTCAAAAACAAAATAAGGGATTTTCTTTTTACATTACAAGTGTTGCTTTCTCCTCCAGCCATTTGGCTCTGACTCTACTTCCTTTTACCGGGTCTAAATAAAACTAATCCAAATGTAGCTGTATGTTCTTTAATTCAGGTTTTTCTTCTAAGGTAAGTTATATTTTAGTGAGCAAAGGGTCAAGTTTGAGCACCAGGTCAGGTTCTAACCTGCATTTTTAATTTTTTAGTTCTTTACTACTTTTAAAGGCAACATATCTGACTTTATATTTGAACACTTCCCATTAGTTCCTATAATTATCAGTTAAGCCATCATGAAGAATTTCTTTGACAGGAATCTTAATTGTATTATTGAAGGATACATATTTTAGAAAATAATTATTGAATTTCCAATAACCTCTTGTACCAAAGGGTTTTTGGTTAGCAGATAATTTCAAGGAGATTAGCTTATAATCATGGAGGGGGGCATGGAGATGGTTAATATGTTTAACGTATTGAAGCGAGGATGATGAAATTCAGACTAAATCAATTCTAGATTTTAAGGATAGCCAGCTATTACACCAGGTGAATTGTTCTGTAGTAACAATGAAAAAACACCAAGCATCAGTTAAGGAAAGGTTGGAGCAAAGTAGTGAGATAAGGTTATTTTGTGAAATATGATTTGGAATGGGAGGGTATCGTAGGTATTGCGTTATCTAGACATTCATCAAAGTCACCACATAGAATTATGTGTTAACCAGAGTATTTCTTTTGTTTAGAATTACCGGTATGTGTTAACCAGAGTATTTCTTTTGTAGTTCTTTCAGTTTTCACAAATAGTGTATTGTTGGAAATGTGAGAATTAAAGCCATATATATATATTACAAACACTAAAGATTGTCTAGCTTCACAAGAGCTAACCATCTACCTTCCTCAGAATGCATTGTTTGAAGTACCTCCACTTTAAATTTGTGTAAAAGGAACAGAAACAAGGAAGAAGAAGCAGGAGAAGCAGGAAAAAAGGCTACATTACCTCATTGTGCATTCCAAAATTTTGCATCTGATTCACATGAATGTGTTTCTTGAATTAGAATTAAATCTGCCTCTGTTCCGCAAAACAAAAAGACTGCTTTCCTTTCAGTGATGTCCCAAATACCTCTGACATTTTATGAAATTAAACTAAAAGGGTTAAATATGAAATCCATTTAACAAAAAAGAAAATAAAGATTTTAAAGAAGTATACCTTTGAACAAGTCAACACTAGAACACCTTATGTGCTGAAGAAAATCCACCAAAAGTCTGGTGGTGAATAACAACCATTTGAATTGACCAACACCAAGTCACACTGTAATTCTGCCACTTTAGATAGCATTAATTTAAAACTAGGGAAAATTAGGTTTTAGTAAAGGCATACATTTAAATATGTAAAAACATTATAAAAGAGAAAACTAGTTAAGCTATTAAGTTCTTATAAAGGTAGATACGTCACCTTTTTTGCTCTTGAGAGGCATAGCTAAGTTAAAGTAGCTTTATGAGACTGGAGCAAGTCATATTTATCTTGTTTACTGTTAAAATTATTTTTTTAGTTAAGCTCTTTCTATGTCAACAGAAACACGATAAAATCAAAGCTTTGAGCATAATTTGTAGCAAAAATGATATTAAATGAGGTCCCTCAAAGTAAAAAAGCTAAATATCTTAGTTCACCACATAAAGTACAAATTGCGAATTGACAGACCAGTATATTTTAGAAAGAACAAGCGGGTAAACCGAGCATTAATGATAACACCGTCTGAGTGCATTTACATTACCTCTGGAGGGCCCGGTTTTTTCCCGATTATGAAAACAAACAGTCCGCGGAAAGAGGCTAGTTTCCCCTTTCCTCTCTCGCTTTCTTTACCATGGGCCAAAGATTATTCCCTCGCTGCCCAGTCTTCTAGTGACAGCACTTCATTCATCCTCAGTCTGTTATCGACCAGTTTTTCGCATTTCTTCAAACCGCGATACGCCTTAGAGCGAATAAGACGATGGTTGACCTGCTCGATCCATATCGTCGCCGCTGTCCGATGCAATGTTCACTGTTGGTGCGGAGATTGGGAGCCGTGTTGCCAGGGATGCCGATAATCTTGCGTTTTATGTCTTATCTGGTTTCGGCGGATTGTCCGCGACCGCTAACCAGTCTTGCGTGGAGTTTTTGATAGTTTCATGTGCATTAGTTTCACAGTCCACGGTCTCTGACTAATTGGGTCGACTGGTGTGTCACTGTTAGCTTCCTTCATTTTCGTAGGCGCGAACGAGGTTTTCTGCCTTTTGTACTTTCCCATTCAACATATTTTCAGTTTTTACGTCAGTATATTACTCGTGTGCGAGTATTTGATATTACTCTGGTTAAATCACAGACCTCCTATATTACCCGACAGAGCGGAAAATCCCACTTCCGCCTCTGTCGCCGCCCTCTTGTTTCCCCCTCCAGACCTCCTACTTTC